AAGGGGCGAAACGTTGTAATAAATATGGCGACGAAGATGAGGACAATAGTCCGAATAATGTAAATAGTGTACATAATACCTCATCTCAGAAATATAGACAAATACTAAAGGGCGAAACGTTGTAATAAATATGGCGACAAAGATGAGGACAATAGTCCGAATAATGTAAATAGTGTACATAATACCTCATCTCTCAGAAATATAAACAAATACTGGCGACAAAAAGGGGTCCGAATAATGTAAACGTTAATACCTCATCTCAGAAATATAGACAAATATGGCGAACGTTGTAATAAATATGGCGACAAAGATGAGGACAATAGTCCGAATAATGTAAATAGTGTACATAATACCTCATCTCAGAAATATAGACAAATACTAAAGGGGCGAAACGTTGTAATAAATATGGCGACAAAGATGAGGACAATTGTCTCCGATTAATAATTCCGAGCTATTATCCATTACACCAACCGCACACAGTACCTGGTATTAACAAGCGGTCATCTATTTTTCTTAACTTCGGGAACTGGTATTTGAATATAATATGGCCGTAAACCAAATATATTTATCCGGCCTCCCCACAAAGGTGAGATGTGACACAGGGTCGTTTTAACGTGGGGAGCGCCATATGTATGCATATGGGCCAAACACAAAAATTGTTGTTTTGCCCAGCCCCAGCGACTACTGTCACACTGGCATTGGTATTACACCGACCACACCTCTCTTAATGTAATGAGGAAGGTGCTGCCACGGGGTTGTAATCCCCGGGGGATTGGCAACTCCTCCACTCTAAGCCAAGTGAAATTGTTATTCTTGAATGGCAGATTATACAGTCTGAGATTTCACCCAAGTCATATTGGTTTTGAGAAGAGACAATTTTAAAGTAAGATAAAAAATCTAACCTCGAACCAGTAAACAAAGGATCGATTATGGGACTTACTGATAAATGCTTTGTTAATGGTTTTACTATAAGGAACGACTACAACGAAGAAAATTAAGTCAGCCAGATCGTAAACGTCACTTTAATTAATCTACATAAAATTCCCCTTTCCAAAGCTACCAAATTTAGCTTTTAAGACACAAGGGGCTACTGGACGTGGAAGAATTAAAAAACAGAAACATTACAAAGGAGCGGGAACCTTAGAAGAGTAGCAGTAGGTAACAATTGAAATTCCCTTTAAATTTTTGAAGATCCAAGTTGACTGGAAAACATGAACCTGGAATCATTTTTGTAGATTAGAATTCATTTGACACAAGCTTGAAATGAGAGAAAAGAAGCCTGTCAGCATAAATCCTAAGTTTACATCTAGCCAATTCAACTGTAAATTGATGAGACCTTCATCCCGCGCTTAACTTCATAAAGTCTAGGCACCGTAGCGAAGAACTCATCTGTACAATTACTATGAAAGTATTTATAAAAAAGGCACAGGGAAGCAACTTTACGTCTATGGAAAGTGACTGAAGCCGAGATGCCAGGTCAGGACCAATAATATTGCCGATTCTTTGGATTTTATCAAGAATCTCTCAATACATAGCAGGAGCACTGGACCATATGTGGCAGTAATATTCTAAGCATGGACGAATGGTAGACTTATAGATGTGTAATGAGCTTTTTTGACAATAAATTCTAGGTTTACAGCTTTCTGGAGTGGGTGCAGGACAACTCAGTAACGCCAACTCAACACCACTGACTCAACACCACCGACTCAACACCGCCGAGTGAATGCCGGGAAAACTCAAGACTGTGACAACTTAGGACTGACACAATTCAGGACCCAGACAATTCAGTACCAGAAAAACTTAACTTTTTTTAAAAATAGAAATAAATAATTTTTTTTTATAAACGAATAAAAGCAATTTTTTAAGGATTAAATCCTTAATTAGTGAATATTTTTCTTCAAATAAGGCATTTGAAATGGCATTAGGCAAAATATGAAGTATTTTTTTGCTTTTAATTATTTTAATAAGGTAAATCGTAAAGACAATTTTTTTTTGATAAAGTAATTTGACATATAAAAATAATTCAATAAAACACACTTTAATTATTTTTTTAATAAAGTAAATCGAAAAATCCAAAACAAAATGAAGCAGTTTTTTTGTTTTTAATTATTTTTAATAAAGTAAATAGTAATGTAATTTATTTTTTAATAAAGTAATTTTTTTATAAAAATATTTTAAAATTTCGATTTACTTGTAAAATGATGAAAAATAAATATATTTTTATTCTAACAAATGTCGTGAGTAGAGGAATGTTAATGAATTCTAATCGACAAAAATAATTCCCCAAAAGGTTTTTCCCTATATTTTACGAGTAGACCAGTTAATTTAAGTAGTTCCTGTTTTTCGAGAGGTGAGGCAACGTGTTTAGTAAACTAGCTCCATGACCAGTGTTATAGTAATGAATTCGTTTCTCACTGAGTGGTACCACAGATGTGGCCTTAGGTTATGCTTAATAGAAACATACTGCATTCATTTTATGTTGAGAATCACTATTTGCCCGATCATTTTTTCTTCTAGTTTTAACAATACAAACATTTACCATAAACCGTTGTTGTATCTCACGTTTCATTTTGTACTTACACTGAAAAATTTTCGGCCATTTTCTTTTTTTTTTTTTAGTTTTTGTTAACATTACAATATTAAGTTATTACACATTCTTTCTTTTTGTGACTGTCTGCAGTTTTTCATTTTTCCTTCATTTCTTCTTTCCTGTCTACTTTTATTTTTACTTTCTTTTTATCTGTTTTCTTTCTTTTCCTTTCTTGTTTTTTTTTCTTAACGTCTTTAAAGATTTTTTCTTGATTTTTTCTTGCTTTTTTCGCTTTTTCCTTCTTTATATTTTCTTTCATTTTCTTTCTTGATTTCTTTCTTACTTCCTTTTGTTGTTTGTTTCTTTTTTCCACTTTCTTCTTTCCTTCTTTCTTTCTTTCTTTCTTTCTTTCTTTCTTGTTTTCTTTTTGAGCTTCTTTCTTTTTCTTTATTGATTTTTCTTGCGCCCTTTCGCTTTTACCTTTTTTTCTTTGTTCTTTTTAAACTTTTTAATTCTTGCTCGCTTTCTTTCGTTGTTCGTTTCTTTCTTTCCTGATTTTTACTTTCCTTTCATTCTTTCATACCTGCTTTCTTTCTTTTTCCTTTCTTGTTTTCGATCTTACCTTCTTTCTTGATTTTTACATGTTTCTTTCTTTCTTTCTTTCTTTTTCGTTTGTTTGTTTCTATTTTACCTACTTTGTTCTTTCTTTCTCTCTTTCTTTCTTACCTTCTTTCTTTCTTTTTCGTTTATGTTTTCTTCCTTACCTTCTTTTTCTTTCTTGATTTTTCTTGCTTTCTTTTTCTTTTGCCTTCTTTCTTTTTATCCTTTATTCATTACTTTCCCTCTTTCTTTCTTGCTTGCTTTCGTTGTTCGTTTCTTTTATTCCTACTTTCTACGTTCCTTTTTTCTTGATGTCTTTTTTGTTTACTTTCGCTCTCTCTTTCTTGCTGCTTGCTTATTCGTTTTTTGTTTTCTTTTTTGTTTTTGTTTTTTTGTTTTTTTTCGGATTTTAAACTTCACTTAATTCCCAGTTTGTTAATAATTTTATTCTATCTTCTCTGTTAGGTGTTTTTTTTTTCTCTTTATGTCGTCTTTTTAACCTCTTATAATAAAATTCTTGTCAACAATGTAATGCTTTCAAAAGTAACATGGCTAGATATCAATGAAAAAGATATTTGCTTTGCTAAGACATATTTTTCATCCCAATCCCAATTTTGAGCTTAAAACTTAATCTCCTTTTATAGACGTTTATGAGCGGATAATAAATAAAAGACAAGCTGCAAAATATGAACAATAATACAATAATCTAGAAAAGTTGCATATAATCAAGGATTACCGATGCTTGCATACGGAGATTTGGTCGTTCGATGCAATCAAACAAGTTAACTGCTTGGGAGAGCTCATTGGTATGAGTACGCATGCGTAATTTTCAGAAATAACAACGGCTATTTTTAAAATCAACTTAACCTTTTATTTTCAGGACGTTCACGGACAAAGGATTGATTGCATTATAGACACTTCTTTGAATTTTGTCAAGAAATTCGAGATATATAGCAGGAGCACTTGACCAGATATGTCAGAAGTATTCAAAGCATGGACGAATGCTAGATTTGTAAGTGTGCAAGATAAATTCTGACAAGAAAAATTGTCTGACATGACATAGTGAAATAACATTCCTAGCAGTAGATCTAGCAATTGATTCAACATAGTCACTCTATTTCAGAAGAAAACGTGAGTCTAAGAAGGTGGAAAGTTTTGCTCTCTCAGAGTTTAGCATTAGCCATGCTGATGGCAAGTAGAAAAGATTCTCTGTGGTGATTAAATGAAAGCATTTTTTTTTTGGGGGGGGGTAAAATCTCCAAGCCATTCCTTGTCCCTGTTAGCCACTGATTGGACGTCTTTTTCGAGAATAACTGCCGGACTTGCTGCTAAGACAGGAGTAAATAGTTATGTCGCCTGCATAATTACCTAGTTGGGTAAACGGATGACATCAGGAAGATCCGTGATGAAGATCAGAAACAACGTAGATCCAAGGATCGATCCCTGGGGAGCCCCCCACATTAATATTAAATGATATAGAAGCGTGTCCGTTCAACACGCTATTTTTTAAAATAATTTCAGTCCAAGCAAGACGATAATACCACTATGATCAAAGAGAGATAGTAGGAGTGAAAGGAAAGGAGAGGATTTTAGGAAAAGGAATCCTAATCTGAAAACAAGGAATAACATTTACTCCTGCTCAAAAGATGGGGAAGCATTATGTACTAGTCGATAGGCGAACCTATCTACTCCATACACAATTTGTTAGAAACGATTAAACGAAATATTCATCCAGAGAAACCTTTTAATCATCCATGATGTTGATAACAATTACAACTTTTCACAGCTTTCTTACTGACTAAATGGATAAGTGGAGTCTGCTAATTGAATTTATGTTGTTAACTCTTGGACATTTCTAGACCTGTTATTGATGTTTATCCAGGCTGCCACGATCATCAGTCACATGCTGCGCCATATGCCGTCGAATATTTTTAAATCCATCAGCCGAAGCCATGGCGTCGGCATTTTCAGCAGATTTGAATCTGTAGCTGTGTATCCGGAATTCGCCCATTTAGCTGACAGGCCCGAATGCAGAGGTAGGAAACTTTCCATTACGTATATTTTATTCTTAGGACAAAAAGGTCGTGGTTAAATTACCACGTTTAGGGAGAATATTACAAGAGTTGCACACACCGAAGGTAGGTAGGTAGATACATATCTTCTCTCTTCTGGTTCATGTCTGAAAGCAAATGTTTGGTTCTAAAATACCCACGCTTGTGGTTAGATGAAATATTGAGATGTATCAAAAGCATTTCCATCTTTTATATAACGCTTCTTTATATAACGTTTATATAATGCTCTCAGTATGTTAATTCATTTGTTTGGTGGGCTCTTATCTATCTTGCATTTTAAAACTTAATCAAGAAAAAACGATGCTTGTCAATTTTGGGGTTTAATTTAAAATTACAACTCACAAGGGTTAAAACCGCTTGAGCCAATTTTGGGAAGTACGAGCTTCGACCAGCTTTAGCGCCAATGTGGTCGAATTTAAAATAATACGTCTACGTTTTTAAAATTTTCATATTTGTGTACGCCTTAATAACATACAAAATAAAATTTGTACGTGAATTAGGTTCGCTAAAGTCAAACTGGCAGTTTATCTCGAAAATGACCTTCAATCTGTTAATTGAGACAAGAAATGGTTTATTAATTTTAACGAAAACAAAACTATACTGCCTTCTTTTGATCGTCTTTGAGAACCTTTTTTTCCCTTCCATCAGTATGGTTGATGCTAGCCTACAGGGAAATAACTCATAGCGCCTTCTCGTTCTAACTTTTTTTTCTCTAATATGGACTGGGCCCCATATATCTATATATATGCTAAGTCTGCCGCAAAGAAATAAGTTTGAGATTAACCCTGAAAGAAAAATACTTTTGATACACCTTAATACTTCAGCTTCGCCCTTATTTGAAGAATGAAGTACTTGAAACTAGATTCCTTAGAGATTATTTGCTCAGGTTTTTTTTCTTTATAGAGAGTTTTGTCCATTTTCAAGAAGGTCTTAAATGTCTTGGCAATGTTTAATCTTCGTGATTGCAAAATAACACTGTGTCATAAAGATGCTCATTCCCTTGGCACCTTTATTACTATACACACTTTTGAATCCTTCGGCAATGTTCATTCATAACATTATGGAAGTTTCGAAAATAAATATCCGGTAAAGCATTTCACCTCTATGGCTTCATCGGATGGATAACGAAAACGGGATACATGTGGGTGCATTTGTGTATGCTTAAAATAATTAAATCTTATATTATTATTCCCAAGCTAGCATTGCTCAAGACTAAAATTATTTATTTTAAACACACACAAATGTATACACACGCAACAAATTTTTCGCTATCCATCTGACGAGAACATAGAGGCGTGTGCGGATCTATTACGCACGAACATACATACATACAAAAATACAAATCACATACAACACCAAGCATTCATTGGTTAATTAATCACCACTACGTTATTATAGACAATTTACAAATCGCAGTAATACGACAATTTTGTAATCGCTCTATTTTTAAGTAGTTAATTTTGTGCACATTTGGGAGAAGCGGATCTCAGAAGCTTTCTTAAGTCTCCCCAAAGCTCGCTCGCTGATTGGTCGATGCCAACCAATCAGATCGTTTGCACGTGAAGAATAATTCTTCACGCGCAGCGATTTGGAGCCTACGGTCACTTATTTAAGCCAAGATTTTTCTAATCCCAATTTGTGAGAATTCAACTGCCAAACGAATCCACGACAGTTGAAACCATACGCCAACTTTCTCACACACACACACCACTCACATGCTGAACATACCTTGTACACACTCAGATAAACTCTTCTTACACAGCAATATCTTTCAAGAACAATCATTACAAGAGACTCTCATGAACATTTTTCCAGTGAACTTTGGAGCACTAAAATAAGTTAAAGAGAGATAACTCTTGGTTAATTCAACCTTTTCTTACTTAAATGCATGTTTTACTTCACATCGTTGTTTGATATTGTACATCTTGTTAAATACATATTTTATGTGTAACAATGTCTTTGGCTTATCCTTTTCTGCATCAGTCCTGTTTCCTAATCTAAAGTTAAATTAATGTCGTGAAATCCGCCACAGGCGAAATGAATCATCGGATATTATTTTCGAAACATACTTTCATGAACGTTTTTCCAAATGTCAATAATTTACAATGTAATAAAATTATGGGAACCAAATACAATGCAATATTTAGTATTTAATTCATATAAAGATTTATTATTTACCATTTTATAAAGAAATTAATTTGAAAAGAAATCTTTTTATTCAAATTTATAAAACCTTACAAAATTATCAAAATATATAAATCTATTACAATGCATTATTTATTATTTACCATTTTATAAATGACTATGAAAATAAATTTTTTATTCATAATTTTATAAAAAATATCAATGAATTATTATTGTCAGTAACATTTTGTCAATAATCCCGAATAAAGAAAATGTACAAACCCACTTTTATATGTTTGGGTTTTTCTTATAATTCTAATCATCGCTTTTTAAAACAATAAACATTGCGGAGGGAGTCAAAAGTAACAGCGGTGTCAATGGAATAATCGTTCTCTTTTTCTTTCTTTTTTCTTTTCTTTTTCAGTTACGAAGGTTAAACATTGTCAATTTCTTTTTATCTTTTGTTCTTTTTCGATATTCTAGGCAACTGTAAAGGCAACTGTCGTTCTACTTGTTCGGGAGACGGTCGAAAATTCTCCAGCCTGGGTGGATTGGCCAGCAGTATCGCTGTCTGCCTTGAAGATATTGTAATGTGCAGTGCCAATGATCCTTACGGTCACAAAGAAAATATTCTCATCCATGAATTTGCGCATACAATCAGGATATACTTACCACACGATTTGGCCAAAAGGGTACGTAATCAATTATTTAAATGCAAAAAGCAAGTGGAAAAGTAAGCACATGAAAAAACTTTAGTTAATTGTTTCGCTTTTCTCTTATGAAAACTCTATCGAGCATAATAAAATGAACGTACGTACCGATTAAAAAGAAAACGCAAATACACACGTTAGTACTATACTAACAATGATATATTTAAATTCCGATCATATTAAGACCTAGCAGCCATTCCCTCTGTTTATACATGGTAGGTTGCCTTGATTAAACTAAACTTAATGACAATTGTTTCAAGTATTTCAAGATGAAATTGGGGGTATACTATTTACATTATTCGGACTATTGTCCTCATCTTTGTCGCCATATTTATTACAATGTTTCGGCCGTTATACGCTCTGGCCTTCTTCAGGTGGTTGCAGATTAAATTCTGTACAGCCAACGAAATATTTAAGCATTTAAATAAGCTTACCATTTTTGTAGTCCATGATATCACAGGTATGATTTTTTTTTTACATATACGTCAAAACTTTTATTCGCTTCAGTGATTGCATATCCAGGGCGCACAAGATAATATAAAGAAAACTAAAGATATTCCATGAATGCTAGCGTTACGTAATCACATTGCGGAGGTAATTCGGATGATGGAATTATTTAGTTCAATTCAAAATCAATATTTTACACCGTTTGTTCAGAAAGCACTCACTGCAGACTACACTGGCCAACTCATCCCCAAATTACACACTCACGGCAACCAACTAATTCACCTGTTACGTAATCACATAATTTTGAATAATAAAATTTCGCACCAATTTTGGTCACCCATTGAGGTACTGACCAGACTCGAGGTTGCTTAACTTCGCTGACCGTACTCAACGTGATTTGATTTTACTGTATTTGTAGCTAATGATGTCGCATGTAGGATTTTTTAAATAAATCTATCAACACTTTTATTCACTTCAATAATGACATATAGAGGGTGCGCAAGGTAATTGAGAACAAATTATAATATAAAGAAAACTAAGTATATTCAATGCAATGTGCCTGTAACATACATACATATATATATCTTCAGGTGCTGAGTATAGACTCTATGTGATATATATATATATATATATATATATATATATATATATATATATATATATATATATATATATATATATATGTGTGTGTGTGTGTGTGTGTGTGTGTGTGTGTGTGTGTGTGTACACATGATGTCCCATAATGATGGAATACATTTTAAGTGCATCTTGGATTATAAAAATGACATACAATGGCATATAATACAAAATACTTGCTTAGACCCATATATATATATATATATATATATATATATATATATATATATATATATATAGAGAGAGAGAGAGAGAGAGAGAGAGAGAGATCCTCAGCCTACAGCAATTAATCGAAAAACTGCTCGGAGGAAGAAAATAGCTATAATTACCTTCCCAGACCAAAATAAACTACTAAATAAACGATCAGAACTCATTTCAAAATGCAGACACGAAAACCAATTTTTACTAAGTTACTTAAAAATCAATAACTAAAAAGAAATAATAGAGAAATAAAATGAAAATAAATATGCAAAAACAAGTAGAATAAATTAATCCAAATAAATAAAGTATATAATGAACAAATTAACAAACCACTCCCGCCAAAATAACTGTTAGAATAGACTGCCCACAATGCAACAGACTACCCACAATGCATCACTGGCCCGTATATATATAGTCGAGAAAAAACACAACGCATGTGGCCTGACGATTTCGTTTAGCATGAAACAGTTTGTCATCTCTGAGTGTTGACTTCAATGTCCACTTTTATATTTTATATACTCCCTATCTCTGATATTGAGCACTTTATCCCATAAATATAGCATACTTTAAGACTATATTTTTCATATATATATATATATATATATATATATATATATATATATATATATATATGAAATTTCTCGAACATTCAGGCCGTAAATGTAATTAATACTGTTTGATTCAAAAACAGAGCATTTACTTTAATAAAATATATCTATAAAATAACGTATAAACAGAAAATATATTAAATAATTGTTGGACCTTATCCATTTCATTGTATGTTGTCATTGTTTACGTTAATATACGTTTCGTGAGCAGATATGATCGATCGAGAAAATTGTGTGTTTAAAAACAGTAATTTGGACTTTGCTAACCAGACGCTCTTCTGTAGCCACGACAGATCAAATGACGATCTCCGTATATGAATAAACGTTCGATTTCTGTCGGAAAACGCATATCTTTTACGAAATTTCTCGAACATTCAGGTTGGTAAATATAGGTAATACTGTTTAATTATAAAACAGAGCATTTAAATTGTATCTATAAAAAAATAAATAAATAACTTATAAACAGAAAATATATTAAATAATTATTGAACTTAATCCATTTCATTATATATATATATATATATATATATATATATTGTCATCCACAGACGGACTGTTTCGCTGTATCACAGCTCATCAGTGTGGCTAGACGTCTAGCTAAGATCAAAACTCGATTGAATTGGAATCAGTCGGGTATTCTACCACTAGAACGACAGGGATGAAGGTGAATTTAAGCGTATTTATTTTTAGATAAACACACAGTGACTGAGAGAACTCAATTCGATTTACCGAAGAGTCTTGCACTATTAGCCGTAATAGCTATTTACAAACCGACACTTCCTCGCCAGAGAGCTCAACTGAAATAAATTTTTCAGGAGCATATATATTGTCATCCACAGACAGACTGTTTCGCTGTATCACAGCTCATCGGTGTGGCTTGACGTCCTGTCGCCTCTGGCTAAGATCGAAACCCGACTGAATTGACATCAGTCGGGGATTCTATCACTAGAACGGCAGAAATGAAGGTGAATTTAAGCGTATTTATTTTTAGATAAACACACAGTGACTGAGAGAACTCAATTCGATTTACTGAAGAGTCTTGCACTATTAGCCGTAATAGCTGTTTACAAACCGACACTTCCTCGCCAGAGAGCTCAACTGAAATAAATTTTCAGGAGCATATATATTGTCATCCACAGACAGACTGTTTCGCTGTATCACAGCTCATCTGTGTGGCTTGACGTCCGGTCGCCTCTGGCTAAGATCGAAACCCGACTGAATTGGCATCAGTCGGGGATTCTGCCACTAGAACGGCAGAAATGAAGGTGAATTTAAGCGTATTTATTTTTAGATAAACACACAGTGACTGAGAGAATTCAATTCGATTTACCGAAGAGTCTCATATATATATATATATATATATATATATATATATATATATATATATATATATATATATATATAGTGTATAAAAGTAAAAATTATATTTTTGAGCTATCAGAAAACAATTCATTTTCTATCACCAATGAATGGTGAATGTCATGTCGGAAAATGATTGTATCAAATAAGAAGATAACAAATAAGTGTTTGTCTGAACAATGTTTTTTTTTTTTTTTATGCGAATTATGTGTAATTGATTGTCCTCGTTTTAAAGACGCTCCAGAGATTTCCCTAATATTGTACAAAACATAACGCTGGGAATTTTTGCAACGCCCTAAAATATCCGCTTTCTTTTAGGCTGACGCCGCTTATACACAGGCAAAAAGGTTACGTCTTTGGACCAAAGGAAACTACCCATATGCCATGAGCAACTTCCAAGAATTTTGGGCTGGCGCAACAGAGTCTTTCTTCATGACAACATCACGTTTGGACTTTACTGGTGGCATGAACATGTGAGTCATTTGGCTTGTTGTCTTAAAGATCATCTTGTAATTTAGCAGAAGGAAAATTGATCACTTCTAGATAAGAGCAGATTTTTTTAAATCTTAAAGCGAATTTTGGAAAATTCGCTTGAAGATGAAACAGAACTAATGCTTTTAATTTAATTATATAATTAAATTTGAAGTTTTTAGCTTCGGTTTTTGAAACATGGTAATTCCTGTGTAGCGAAGAAATCATATTTTAAAACAGTTAATTTTAATATATATATATATATATATATATATATATATATATATATATATATATATATATATATATATATATATATATATATATATATATATATATATATATATATATATATATATATATATATATAAATATATACATATATATATATATATAAATATATATATATATATATATACACTGACGATACCATGGTTGATAGGTGCTCCCCACCCAATCTGCATGATTGATCTATCCTCTGACCAAGCTCTCACAGCTCAATAGAGGGAAAATTGGCTTGTAATATTCAATGCCTTCAAAACCGAGATAATATTTCATATCTGGTCTGGTGCTCCAGCTATATATTTAGAAATCCTGTAAAGTGACTGAAGCCGAGATGCCAGGTCAGGATCAATAACATTGCAGATTCTTCTTTTGATTTGATCAAGAATCTTTGATATGACCAAAAGTGGAGTACTGCTCTCACGTATGGGTTAGAACTATTCATTTTATCATTTCACTCCAAGCAAGACAATAAAGCCGCTGAGAATGAAGGAGGTTACTGAATGTGAGAAAATATGAGAAAAAGAAAACATTATTACTAAGAAGAGAGAACAATAAAAGAATATGAATTAAGAAGACAGAGAATAGCGATTGGCATTGCTTTTAAATTTTTTTAAAGAAATTTATGAGCTGTCCAATCCTCGTCACTTTCCAGCCATGACAGATTTCAAAAGCGTCTACGTTGCCTTGTTTCTCACTCTACAACCACTTTCTCACGGGGTGCTCCATACATTCAGCCTTGTACTACATCTAAGATACGCTTAGTAAATTACTTTTAATAGAAGTAACTTTTTCCTCTCATTGAAAATCATTTATCATGTAAAAAATTGTCACTTTTCCAGGTGCGGTACTAACCGGGCTTGCGGCGACGAGATAGCTGCCCGTGATTATATAAAACGACACCAACCTGATCTGTTCAGTGTACTGAGTGAAGTATACACTGGTAATAAACCTCACATCAGAAGCGGATTGCGAATTTGTATGTAGAAAAAGAAAACAAAAGACTAAACAAATTTCTTAAATTTATTCTGCGTGTCTCTATCTCTCTTAGAAAAGATATCTCCATCACTTTCCCTCAGTTTGATAGTGTGTTTAAAAGAACTCTAGTTCTCCCCCCCCCATCTAATTGCGTTTAGGTCGCTTTTAAATAGCTATCTTTCTCTCTCTCTCTTTCTTACTTTCCCTCAGTTTGATAGTGTTTTTAAAAGAACTATTTCTCTCTCCCTCTCTAATTATATTTATGTCGCTTTTAAAAAGCTATCTTTTCTCTCTCTCTCTCTCTCTCTCTCTCTCTTTCTCACTTTCCCTCAGTTTGATAGCGTTTTTAAAAGAACTCTAGTTCTCTCTCCCTCTCTAATTATATTTAGGTCGCTTTTAAAAAACTATCTTCTCTCTCTCTCTCTCTCTCTCTCTCTCTCTCTCTCTCTCTCTCTCTCTCACTTTCCCTCAGTTTGATAGTGTGTTTAAAAAAAACTCTCTCTTTCTCTCTAATTGCGTGTTCGTAAATTGGAGGAGAGAGCTATCAATGATAATGTTCTGATTTCAAATCCGCGATTATCTCCCTTTAATCCTATATTATTATTAAATCTACTTTTTATCACATAAATTTGGTGAGGCGCGAGCAAATGTTCATTCCGAAAATGCGACCCAGAGAAAAAAAAGTTTGGGGAGCACTGCTCTAAACAATAACGATATAACCTGACGGTCACACTGAAGCGGGAAACTGACAACTAAAGCTGTTGAGCCCAATGTACTCACCTCTTTCAATGGCAGTATTCCACCTACGAATGAGGGCATCTAGCCCAGATTCGTAAAACTCAGCTGACTGTTGATGTATCCAATTCCTTACAGCAGTGTTAACTTCTTCATCACCGCCATAACATTTTATGACTCTTTCATTGAAGTCTTTTGCGAATGCTTACAAGAAATTCTCCTTCGGCAACAGAGAACTCGATTACTGTTCTTTGCTTCCAATGGACTTCCGGTGAAACAGCCATGTTCATATCAGCTCATTTATTCATATATCTGGAAGAAATAAACAATTAAAGATCAACAGTGCATGTGCCTTCACATCTGTACCAAATTTCGAATAATTTCATTTAGAAATGCGCCTCCTATGTCAAAAAAATTGCATTACTTGTTAACTTACCCTCGTGTATATATATATATATATATATATATATATACAGAGTTCGCAAAAAATGTCTACACACTTCAGTAAAAGGAAAACTTTGTCTAGATATTATAATAGTAAATTAATCCAGACATCACGAGATTAATACAAGTTACATTGGGACTCTATAATCAAAAGAAATGCTAAAAATTATGGCCATTAGCTTCCAAACATTTATTAGTATAGGCCACGTTGGCAAGGGTCCAATGGGGTTGCTGCATATTCATTTTCAATTTCCTCGTCTGGGTTCAATGCTTCATCGTCTGGACTCACTGCTTCCTCATCTGGGATCACTGCTTCATCGCCTGGACTCACTCCTTCCTCGTCTGGGTTCACTGCTTCATCGTCTGGACTCAATCCTTCCTCTGGGTTCACTGCTTCTTCGTCTGGGCTACTCCTTCATCGTCTGGGCTCACTGCTTCCTCGTCTGGGCTCACTGCTTCATCGTCTGGACTCACTTCTTCTTCGTCTGGACTCACTCCTTCCTCGTCTGGGTTCACTGCTTCTTCGTCTGGGCTCACTCTTTCCTCGTCTGGGCTCACAGCTTCCTCGTCTGGGCTCACTCCTTCCTCGTCTGGGCTCACTGCTGCATCGTCTGGGCTCTCTCCTTCCTCGTCTGGGCTCACTGCTTCATCGTCTGGGCTCACTGCTTCATCATCTGGGCTCACTCCTTCCTCGTCTGGATTCACTGCTTGTCCAGTCACTAGAACGTTAATTTGGAAATTGTAACCATTATCAAAGATGGCAATTACATATATGTCCTGTTTGTTGCTGTTAAGGGTGTTCAATTTTTCTTTGGCCATTTCAATTTGCCTTTTCACAAGGCTACATTTATAATTCCAAGTGTTGATAGTTTGGTGGGCTGCTGGATCGTGCAATTTAAATTATGTGTATTTAGGCAGCATTTTTTCATTGATCCATGTTTCCTTAAATAATATAGACATATATGTAATTGTCATCATTGATAATGTCTTATATAAGCCGAAAGCTTAGGTAGGATTAAAATATATGTATCAATATGGAGATTTTCTTTCGTCTTTTAATGATAATATTATTAAGCTTATCAGACGATATGAAAAGAATTTACATAAAATAGACAAAACTTGTCTATATTATTTAATGAAACATGAATCAATGAAAAATGCTGCCTAAATACACACTATTCTTTACACACACACACACGCACACACACACACACACACACACACACACACACATATATATATATATATATATATATATATATATATATATATATATATATATATATATTGAACGCTCTCGTCGATTTCCACGTACGTAAGCCTAAAAGTTCAGGACTAATCTACTAGACTACCTAGACAAGATCATATGTCCAACCAATCACACGTTTCAAAAATGGCTGATAACGAGCAGTTATTTCTTTTGAAAAAATCTGAACGAGATGTGCATTCTTTAAGCGCGTAAATAAAAACTTGCTGAGCCGTGACGATCTCTGTGATCGGGCGACGTAAAGCACGCCGTTTCAGACGATGGTTTCTTCTACAAAGGCATTACGTAGGTCCGAACCCTGCTAGAATGCACACTTTCTTTATTAAGCTTTCTCAATTGCGCAGGCTGGTAGATGTACACATTGCTTAAAAAACGGGACATCTATTTAAACACTGGCGTCTATTCAAACAAGGGTATCCACTAAAAACATCGTTTTTAGTAATAATATATATGTGTGTGTCCGAGAAAACACTGAAAAATCTTTAACCTAAAATATTGATGTATGTTTACTTCACACACACACACGTGCGCATATATATATATATATATATATATATATATATATATATATATATATCAGAGTCTGTCTATATTTCTGAGATGAGGTATTATGTACATTATTTAATTATTCGGACTATTGTCCTCATCTTTGTCGCCATATTTATCACCGCTCTCTGTGGGGTCATGTTGAGATCATAGACAAGGAACACCATTGGAAGATTCGTAAACTTAAGGAATCAGTACATATACTAGGCCACAAAAATCTCCTGAGCCGACCAAGCATAGAAATGAATACAACATGGGAACAAGTAATAAGGAGTGCCAGAGAGAAGCAATGATAACAGCAAAATTGCAATATGAGCATTGGTAAAAATGGTTGCTGAAGATATTAGGTTTATAATACCCAATATGCAGATGTCTTCAAGGACACATGGCATAGTGGATAAAGGCGTTGGTTAGATCCAGTGACAGGACCCAAAGTGTGAGTTCAATACCCGGTTAAGGTAGTGGAGAACTTTCAGAGAGAAATTAACAGGAGATAACTGATAACTGACATCCATCAAACATGGCACGTAGAACTAGAACAGCCTACCCCAGTGAGCGAAATAAAGGGTTCAGTTCGAAATTCCAACCACCTGAAGAAGGCCGGAGCGTACAACGGCCGAAACGTTGTGATAAATATGGCGACAATGATGAGGACAATAGATGGCCGAATAATGTAAATAATATATATATATATATATATATATATATATATATATATATATATATATATATATATATATAAAGATAGCTACTTATCGTTTAGTTCACACTCCTCCGCGGTCTTCAGAACAGGAGTAGAGGGTTATCCTTCGTGATTGTCTTATGATTGCCTCTAACCCTCTGATTGCTTCCTGATTGCCTCTGATCCTGTGATTTCCTCCGCCTATTCCTGAATTATTTTAGTTTAGCTCGATCCTCACTAGATAATTTAATCCTATCGTCTTGAGCTAGACTAAATTATGGGTAGTAATCGTTAATGTAAGTTTAAATAAATCTCTGTTTAATAACTGTTAATAAATTACTCTTACAGACAGTGAAATTTTTTTCATACTGCGTGACCTACACTTATGGGCTTTTAACAGTAAAATCTGAGTTTAATAAAACTTGTTTAGCTTTGGGCAAAGTCTTAACATTAACCGGGAAAATGTCCGTCTACTTCTAGCCTTTATCATTCTGTTCCTGATATCAGTTTCTCATGTTCAACTCTTTCAGTTCATTTTTGTTTATTTCTGCGCAGCCGTCTCCTGATTAAGATTATCTCGATTTTGCTAATTAAGGCTAAACAATATTCTTACTGCCTGTCAGTCATTACGTTCGAGTGACATGGTATAAAAAAATAATTCTCTGCTCCAGCTTTTGCAGAAAAGTTGTACAAATCTTTTAATATTATTCAACTCTTTACTATTTGTGCAATTATTTTATCATTAGTCATTGGATTTTTCCCGTCCATTTCTGCGCATAGGGCAAAAATTCTTCTTCACTGATATTGATCGACTCCATCTTGTTTTATTTTCTTCCTATCGACGTTTTAAGGTTGCGATGCCGTTCTTGAAGGTTCTGCACCATGTTACCCATGACCTTCTCCTTTAACGTCTTCTCTTTGCTGGTTCTCAACTTATAGCATTCTTTGCATGGCATTTGGCGGTTAGGCGAAGGACGTGTCTATCAAATCTTACTCTATGCCCAGCTACAACGTTTTACAGACAGCTTGACTATGCGAGCCTCGGCATTTCCGTATTTGTGATGTAGTCACGGGTAGATACCTTCCAAGAAATCTTAATCCTTTCACCCTAAGCAAGATAATAATGCCACTAAGATGCAGGGGGGGGGTTACTGAGAGTAAAAGAGAATAAGACTTTAGTGGGGAAAAAGGACAGCAAAAAAAGAGGATTCAGGAAGATAGCAGAAGATAAAGACCGGAATTGGATTTAAATCTTTGAAGTTTGTAGGTGGCAGGAAACAAAAAATCAGAAGAGAATTCCACAGGCTAGAAGTGCGAGAAAAAAATTAGAATAGAAATTACGATTACATTTATCTATTATAACAGTAAAGCGATGAGACCTAATTGCCAATCTAGTGGTACGTTTAAATTCACGCGGTCGAGGTACCAAGGAGGAGAGTTCATTAGAACATCTGCTATGAAGATATTTATAGAAAAAACAGAGGGAAGATACGTCACAGCTGTGGAAATGTGACTGAAGTCTAAATGCCAGGAAAGGACCTATAACATTACAAATCTTTCTTTGGATTTTGTCGAAAATATTGAGATATATAGCCGGTGTACCAGACCAAATGTGGCAGCAGACGAATGGTAGATTCACAAAATTGCAAGATGCTTTCTGACTAGAAAAACTGTCTGGTACGATACAGTAAACCAATATTCTTACCAGCAGCAGACCTAGCAATTGATTTGATATAATCACTTCACTTTATGGCATTAGAAAACGTGACATCAAAAAGATGCGACGAGTTACTCACGTGGACA